ATTATTATTATTATTATTATTATTACTACTACTACTACTACTACTACTACTACTACTACTACTACTACTATTATCATTATCAATATCTTTATTACTCCTTACTTTTTAAATTCCATATATTTAAAAAATATAAGAAGAAAGAACATGAAACTTTTTGTGTGATTATAATTTATGTAGACTAAAATAAATGATATGAAGCACAATTGTTTTCTTAAAAATGAAAAATAATAAACTTTAGAAACAAGCTAAATAGAAACCCGAGAAAGTAATCTTTAATTATTAATGAAAAATGTATTATTTATTTGCTTAATATTGATAATATAAGGATGTGATCTTTTAATAAAAATATTAATGATTATTAATAACATTGATTATCTATATTAAATAACATTTTAGTGCATATATAAATTAAATAATTATTCTAATGTTTATATAAACTAATTATTAAAATATTAAATCAATATTATTCATTAAAAAAATCATAAAATAAAAATATTATTACATTATAATATGAATGATTATTCTAATATATGAGTTAATTAATTTTGTTACATTAAAAAATAATCATAAAAAAATATTGATTATATTATAATATGAATTATCATTACAATTTTCAATCAAATCAGAACCAATCAGATCTAATCAGATCAGATCAGATCAGAACTTATTAAAATCAGATCAGATCAGAAAAAATAAGTTGAACAGAATGGAGCCTTCCTCAAACTGGGTTCCATTGTCAGATATGATCTTCTTCGGGACTCCAAATCTACAAAGTACGTTGGTTCCCACGAAATTGATCATTTGCCTTCCAGTTATCCCAGCAAGTGGTTCAACTTCTACCCACTTGGTAAAGTAGTCAATGGCCACCACTATCCACCTTGCCTGTCCAACTCCTTTTGGCAGGGCTCCAACGATATCAATCCCCCATCTTAAGAAGGGAATCACGGAGCTGATGGGCGTGTAGTTCGCGACTAGCCTCCTGGGCATATTCTGGAATTGTTGACAAGTTGGGCACTTGCGCACATACTCCTCGCAATCCTTCCTCATCGTTGGCCAAAAATACCCCTGGATAATCGCCCTTCTGGAGATAGAGTATGGACCCTGATGTGCAGCACATACTCCCTCGTGTATTTCCTCCATCAGTGCCTTTGCCTCTACTGCCCTAAGACAGCGGAGCAGAGCGCCGTTGTAAGACCGTTTATAAAGGACTCCATCCTGCACCTCGTAGGTGGGTGCCCTCATCCGCATCAAACGGGCTTGTTGGGGATCTTCCGGGGTTACACCGTCCTCAATGTATCTTGCCAACCTGTCCAACCATTCCGGGGGATCAGCTAATACCCAAAACGCCTCATCTCTGTTGAGACTCGGAGCTGCCAGCTCCTCGACAGTTGCCAATCGGCTTATGTATTCTGGTGATTCTGCGCTGAGCTTGGATAGAACATCAGCTTCCCTGTTCTGGGCCCGGGGTATATGTTCAAGCTTAAACTCAAACTTTCCCAACATCTCCAAGGACAAGTCTCGGTACCTTTTCATCCTCTCTTCCTTTGCTTCAAACTCCCCAGTGAGTTGTCCCACCACCAGTCGGGAGTCGTTGTATACTTGAACCCTGTACACTCCCAGCTTGCCAAGAATCTTCAGTCCGTTGATCAGGGCTTCGTATTCAGCTTCATTGTTAGATACGCGGAACTGAAATCTGACAGCGTAATATATCCGGAAATTTTCCGGAGTAATCAGAACAATACCTGCTCCACAAGATCGAGACCTAGAAGATCCATCGATGCTCATTACCCACCAGTCATCCTCTACCCGGGTATCAACCTGTGCTTTTGTCATCTCCGTGGCAGTACACTCGACTTGGAAGTCAGCGAGTGCTTGCCCTTTGATCGATGGGCGCGGCCTGAACACAACATTATACTGACTGATGAAGACCGCCCATTTGGCCATCCGGGCGGATGCCGCCGGGCTCCGGGTAAGTGATGCCAAAGGCTCGTTGGTGAGCACAATAATCCGGTGAGCCTGAAAGTACAGGGTTAATCTCTTCGCCGTCCAGAAGACCGCTAACATGGCCTTCTCTGGACGGGAATACCTTAACTCCGCATCTCTCGAAGTCTTACTGACGTAGTAAACCGGATGTTGGGCCCCATTCTCTTCCCTCACAATCACAGTACTTATGGCACATTCTGCAATTGCCAAGTATAGAGTCAGGATGTCTCCAGGTTCCGGTTTAGATAAAACCGGCGGACTTGCCAGATATCTCTTCAGTTCTTCAAATGCTTCTTGACATTCCCGCGTCCACTCGAAGGTCGCCCTCTTCTTGATTACCGTAAAGAATGGATGCGCCATCTCTGCCAGCTTTGAAAGGAAACGATTCAAAGCCGCCAATCTACCGGTCAGCCGCTGAACTTCTTTTGCTGTCTTCGGGGGTTCCATCTCCATGATGGCCCTAACTTTCTCCAGGTTCACCTCAATCCCTTTCCGGCAAACCATGTGCCCAAGGAACTTTCCACCCTGAATAGCAAAAGTACATTTCTTCGGGTTCAATCTCAAATTTACCTTCATCATGATTTCAAAGACCTCCTCAAGGTCCCGGACATGGTCTCGGGCCTCTTTGGACTTGACAATCATGTCATCGACATATGCTTCCATGGTTCGCCCGAGGACGGCCTTGAACACTTGAGAAACCATCCGGGTGTATGTCGCCCCGGAATTTCTCAGTCCAAAGGCCATCACCAAGTAACAGTACAGCCCTTCCGGGGTCATGAAACTCGTCTTTTCAGCATCAGCCGGGTGCATCCGAATCTGATGGTAGCCGCTGAAAGCGTCCATGAAGCTCATTAACTCTGATCCGGCAGTCTCATCCACCATCTGGTCAATGCTGGGAAGAGGGAACGGATCCATGGGGCAGGCCTTGTTCAAATCTGTGTAGTCGACGCACATTCTCCACGAAGGGGGCTTGGGCTCCAGAACTACGTTTGCCAACCAATTCGGGTATTGCACCTCCCGGATGTGACCAATGTTTTGCAAAGTGTCTTTACAAAATCCCTCCTTTCCTGTGACAAATGCCTTCGCTTCTGCTTCACCAGTTTAGCATCCCGCAGGACATTAAGGCGATGAACTGCAATCTTGTGATCCAGTCCTGGCATATCAACTGGACTCCATGCAAAGACCTTCCTGAACCTTCTAAAGACTGAGATCACTCGTGATCTGACTTCAGCCCCTAGGCCCCTGCCAATTCTGACTAGGGCTGGGTTGGGAAAACTGAAAACCGCAAACCGAACCAAAATCGATCGAAACGAGCTAGAAAAAAAACCGAACCGAAAAAACCGAAACCGAATGTAAAAAAACCGAACCGAACCGTTAGTGTTTGGTTCCGTTTTGGTTTTTACTTTTAAAAACCGAACTGAACCGAATAAATTGAACTTTCTTAGATAATTCGCTTTATTTATATGAATATATGTGATATGTAAAAAAATTATAGAAATATAAACGCAAATAAATTACTAGTCGATTAAAATTATTTTCTTAACTATTAATTAAACATTCAAGCAATATTATTATAAACTTTGGAAAAACCTAAGAATATAAACACCAATAGCTTATCCTAAAATAGAATTATATTAACATTAAAAATTGATACGAGTAATTTACATATTTACATAACAAATACTTTGATGTTATAATAAAAATGAAAGTATTATACCAAAAAACCTAAATTCTTCATAATTGATTTTACATACGATTTCTTTGGAAGTATTTGGAATCTTCTAAATGTTTGTTGGGCACTCAACACACATTTTTTTATGTAAAATTGAACCGAAAGGAACAATGACCTTCCGTTTGGTTTTTGTTTTTATGTAAAAATCAAACAAAAAAACCAAAGCTAACAGTACATATTGTTATTGTTTCATCGAGTTAGTGTTTTTACTATTTTTTAATGCTTATAAATTTATACTTTTATAAACCGAAAAAACCAAAAAAAACCGAAATAAAAACCGTATAAAACCGAACCGAATAACCAACGGTTTACATATTTTTTATGCAAAACCGAACCGAACCGAACCACCAATTTACCTTCCGTTTTGTCTTTGGCTTTGGGTGAAAACCGAACCGCCAAAACCGAACCCACCCCTAATTCTGACTAACCTCCCCGGTGTGCCTGGCTCCAGTTCAACTTCCTCAATGTCGCTGGCAACTTCTACTCTGGGACGTCTCTCCTCTCCCCTCAAGAGTTGTGCAGTCACCTCTCCCACTTGGGGGTCGTACTTGATAGGATGTTTGGTTGCCTTCAAATACCACGCCCGGGACACTCTCTGGGATCCCCTGGCGATTCCAACTCCATGGGGGGTTGGGAATTTTATGCACAGATGACGAGGTGAGATGACACACTCTAAATCTTCCAATTCGGGTCTGCCCCGAATGATGTCTGTGTTGGAGATTATCCCCACCACAACAAACTCCATGTCCAACTTCCGGGTGGCCTTAGTATCCCTATTTCGACCGGGAGGGTTATTACCCCCTCCGGTTCAATAGAGTCACTAGTGAACCCGGTCAGTGGAGTTTTGATGGATGATAATTCATCTCTTGTCAAACCAAGAGCCTTGTATGTATCCATATACATGATATTAACGGAGCTTCCCGTATCCACAAGGGTTTTATGGATCAGTACGTTCATTATATCAATAGTAATCACCAGGGCGTCCCTATGGGGGACCCCTGTTTCTGGCAGATCAGCATTAGAAAATACGATTAGCTCAGTTTTCAGCTTCTTACCTTCTAGGACCAGCACCTTGTTGACCATCGCTGCGTTGGCCCACTTTTTCCGGCTCGTGGCTGAATATCCGCCAGTATTCCCTCCAATAATGAATTTACACCCGTGGTGTCTCTTCTGGCGGTGCGGTGCGGGTTCCGAATCCTCCTCTTCATCTTCGAGCCCGATGTGGCGTTTTTCCCGGGTCTTAGCCTGGGCCACATCCTTATCCCTATGCTTCCCATTTTGAGCGTTCCCGGGATTTCCCGCGTCACCATCTTCTACAAACTTCTTTAGATGGCCACGGAGGATTAGCCTCACCATCTCATTCTTCAGGGTATAGCAATCCTCTGTGTTGTGATCATTCTTGCGATGATAAGCACACCATTTTCCAGTGTTCTCCACATTGCAGACCTTCTGAGAATAGGTTGGATAAGTCATGAGTCCCTGCTATGCAGCATGGGCCATGACCTCAGCCACCGGCAACGTGAAGACTGGATTGGCAGATTTGTGCTTCTCCGAGGTCCCAGGGCTTGTGCCCTTTGGGCCATCCGGGAAACCCTGCTTCCTGCTCTTGAACGGCTTCTTATTTCCCGCCTTCTCTTCTTCTTTAGGAGTCTTCTCTTTCTTCTCCTCCTTTCTCTCCTCCAGGGTCACATACCTCCCGGCTCGGACCATTTCTTCTTCGAAGGTATCAGGGGGATGAGTTGTAAGATCGGTGTGAAGGAGTCCGTCTTGTAATGCCGCCGTGAACATGGCCAGCCTGGATTTGTCATCGGTTCCTTCAACCTCCCTGGACTCTTTTCTCCATCGGATAAGGAAATTCTTCAAGGATTCTCCGTGCTTCTGCCGCACTGAAGCCAGATGAGTGAAATGCTTCTTGGGACGGCAGTTCCCGGCAAAATGCTCCAAGAACCGCAATCCCAGTTCATCCCATGTCCGGATCGATCCAGCAGGAATGTTGTTGACCCAATCTGCAACCTTGCTATCGACTGTCTACAGGAAGCACCGGCACATTAGTGCATCACTGGCGTCAACGGCAATCTTCACCTGGACATAGCTGTTTATGTGTTCCTGGGGATCCGACTCCCCATCATAACGCTTAACGAACGGCATCTTGAATCCCTACGAATATGGTTCCGCAAAGATCTCCGGGGCTAAGGGAGTATTCGTTCGAGTAGTGAATACTCGTCCCCTGTTTATCTTCCTCTGCATCTCCTGGATCTGCTGCCTCAGATCCTGGAATTCACCTGCTTCCGGTACCGGCGGCCCCAGGCGCTGTGGTGCTGGGACCCTGACTTGGCTTTGAACTTCGTCCTCATCCAGAACCACCAATGACCGGACCGGAGCTTGGCTCCCATCGCGGCTCATTCGCTGTCGGGGTTCGCGGTTAGAAGATGCCACCTGGCTGGCCTGGGGTCGTACCCAACCCTGGGGTGCCTTGTCCGGATTCTTCCCCAGCCTCTCACCAACGTGAGCCTTCTGGTGAGATATCCTTTCAAAGACAGTTCCCCGCGGGTTTCCGTTTCCATTGCCGACGACTTGGCTTGCAGCCTTGGCCCAGTCTCCATTCAACTTACTATTCCGGACCAACTCTTCCGCCCGACGTCTAGCGACGGCCTGTCTCACCCTCTCGACCTCCTCCGGATCATGAAGCTCCTGGAGGATGGGAGAACTCGCAGTACGCAGGACCTGGCGGGGTTGCCCGGTAGGGATGTCCCGGGTACCGGATGGACAAGGGAGAGCCTTATCCAACCGTTCCATAATGTTGGCCATCATGTTAGCCACATTATTCAACGTCGTCTCCAACCCATTGATAGGAATGATCATGCCCTGTTCAGGGTTGTCACTCCTCACCGTCGATTGGGCAGAAGCAGCAGCGTTACGTCTCGTCCTTCGTCCGGCCATAATCTCACAGTTTTATCTCACAGTTATCTCTCAATGAAAGCACCAATGGTGGGATTAACCCGATCAGATGGCGGACCAAGAACGTAACGTGGATCAGAAAGATATAATCTCGTAGTAATATTCTTTGATTAAGTGCAGAATTGCTTGAGTCGTCCCCACAATGGCAGGTTCTTTTTCCTTTTATAGTACTTCTAACATTGTAATTAAAATTATACATAATGGGAGGGATTATGGAGATCATTGGGTTGTGATTCCCTCTTTTCCGGTCTCGTTCTCTCCCCATCTCGTCCATAATCTGGTGGTGTGGGTCACGTGTCCCGCTCCTTCTCTGGACTGGGTCGTCTTGATTTAATCCATGATTGGGCCGTCCCTTTCCCATCTGCCATGCGTGTAGTAGTGGGCTCGGCCCGTTACCCCCACCTGGCCTTATCCATATTGTGCTATTATGGGCCTTTATTGGGCCTGGAGCCGGGTCCATCAGACCCGATATCCATCATCCGTAATATAATAAAATATCACCGTTGGCATGGTATTAGGATAAATGTTGTTCCGTTCCGAAATATCCTGGTCCCGTCTCTATGATATCCCATTCTGTTAGGAATGACAAAAATTTGTCCGGAACTGTTTTAAAATTGGGACAAGACGGACACATAAATATTTTTCTGTCCCGTTGTCCAGTATATGTATATCTATTTATTTATTTATATAATGATATAACACAAAAAAATATCACAATTTTTATTTTCCAAAACAGATATTAAAAATATCCATGTTTAAGTATTCTAAAAAAGAATAGATTAGGACCGGAACAACTAAAAAAATACCGTTCAAACCCGACTCCCCTAATTTGTGGTTCATAGCTTTTATGAAGTTTATATAGTTTGACGTATGTTTTAACGTTTTTTCCTTCTTTTTTTTTTACTTTTTTAACACATTTTAAATAAATATATCATTTTGTCATTAATTATTTTGCAAGTCAAAGTGGGTTGCCTCTAACTTGGGTGTTTTATACCTTTATATTTAATTTCGGATAATGACAAAGCAAGACAACCCGAACTCATTCCTTTGTATCGTGATCCCGAATGTTAAGGGACAAAGATGGATAAGCTTATGGCCCGAACAGTCCTGAACTATTCAAAAATAACAGGACAAAACGTGGGACGGTATAAAACCCGAACCGTCCCGATCCGTGCCCACCCCCTATATGTTACTGTCGAAAAAGACCTGTAATTTTTTACCATTTTGATTTTCATGTAAAAATAATTTATCCATTGATTTATATATTTACACATACTCCGTATTATATACTCCGGGTATAATTATTCACACATATAGGACGTATACTTTTGGTACTTAAAAGTAGGTACTAATAAAATTATTTACCATGACCATGTTTAAGATTTCACTATTATGTTTCTCGTTATTGTGTATTTTAATTACTTTAAATTTCATAAACCAAAACCCCAAAAGTAACTTATACTTATTCAATAAAATATAAGCCAGTGTTTAAGATTTAAGTGTTAAATTTCTTGCTAGTTGGTAAGCCAAAAGTTATTCAATAAAATCTAAGTTAAAAAAATCCGAGTTATAAAGGATGAGTCCCATCTCGTGGGTCCCCTCTTACACGGTCGGACGGTTATTGAGAGGAGTTAGACTTAATGTTAACTACTTCCTCCGTCCCAAATTATTTGCAACATTTCAAACGACGTGCAAAATATCATATCTTTTAAAATCATTATATTTTCAAATTGGTAGATTAATAAAAAGTAAAAATTACACCATTCAAAAGTATATGAAAAGTTCTACAAAACAAGATGTGACAAGAATATTTTATTTTATTAAATGGTCAATCAAAACGAGTAAACAAACAAAAGTTATTGAGAAGCTAGAATAGTAACTGTTGCATTCTTTCTGGGACGGAGGGAGTACATATTAGTGGAATCTGCACCTGGTACTTAGCTTGCACATACCTATGTTTAGCATAGTTACCTTCCAGCACAATTGTTATAAATCGAACTCAGGTCTATCCCCTTGGCACTCCCTACCTTTGCCAACTGCGCAAAAATTTGATTTATAAGTTTTTATTATTGTTGTGTACTTCCGACAGGATAAATTTCAGTAATGGTACCTGAACTTTCACTGGAATTTCGAAGTGGTACCTGAACTTTAAATCCTTTCACAAAAGTACCTGAACTTACATAATCCTTTCACTAAAAGTCCATTTATCCGTTTCCAAGTTAATTTCCGGTTATTTGGGCTAAATTATCTCTTTTTTTCTTCTCTCCCCTCCCACTCCCTTCTCTATCTTCTTCTTTCACCCCTTTCTTTTCTTCTTCTTCCTCACCCCACCCGCTCTCGCTTCTCTGCACCAGCTCTTTCCTACCACTGAAGAATTGCAGCAACATCCCCGCACCACAATATTCCCCTCACCAGATGACCCGCCGCACTCCTCTCCGCCTCCTCCTTCTACTCCCTCCTCTCCATCTCCGTCGGAGAGATCTCCTTTGCCGCCTCTACCCAACTCACTGCCGGCGACTTCTTCGCCCTGAAGGCGCTGTACTTCTCCAACACTCGGTCCAGATTTTTAGCTTCCTCTCCTGCCCCCTGGCGGCAACGGGTCAGGCCGTAATTTAGCATGTTCTCCAAGGAATCGATCCTGATCTCCCTCTCGTCGTCATCGGATGCGACTCCCGCGCCCGCCGGAGTCTGGAGGGTGAAGAAGTAGTGAGAGTCGTCCAGCTTCACGGTGGCCTTGTCTTTGGCCAGGGGCCACTATATGTCGCGGCCGATGCGGGCAAGAACGGCGACAACAGTGTTGTCCTGCTTGAGCCGGACGATGTTGAACTCGCCGCAGGCAAGCTCGACGCTCCGGTCTGTATCGATCAAGTGAACCATGGAGCCGAGGATTAGGATTTTAACTTCCTCGGATGATCCAAAACCGGAATTGGACCCCGACATGTTTGGGCATGAAGATTTGGACATGGTTGAGACTGGAATCTGATCTATTTCTTGCAAGCCAAGGGAAAAGTTCTGGTCGGGGGTTTAAATGATTTCTTTTATTTATGGGAATGAAATGGGGGAGAAAGACGGTTAAGGGTGCCAAAGAGGTGGACGTGTGTTAATACGTGTAGTATTCGCGGAGGTGCAGAGGGGGGTGGGGTGAAGAAGAAGAAGAAGAAGAAGAAGAAGAAGAAGAGAGTGGGAGGAGAAGAAAAAGAAAAAAAATGGGGTCAAATTGAAATTTTAAACTATATAAAATTCTAATTTTAACCTAAATGACCGGAAGTTTACCCGGAAACGGATAAATGGACTTTTAGTGAAAAGATTATGTAAGTTCAGATACTTTTGTGAAAGCATTTAAAGTTCAGGTACCACTTCGAAATTCCAGTTAAAGTTCAGGTACTATTATTGAAATTTACCCACTTCTGACATTTCAAGTTAGCTCAATCATCTCTTCATTTTGACAGTGCATTTTAAATACGGATAATGATATTTGTACCCCCAAGAATTTGTGTCTTTTTTTGTACACCGCGGGGATGCACCAATATTTTGTGTTGGTGTAATCCTAATTTTTGTTAACGCACCAACACTTTGTGTCAGTGTAAATTTTTGTTAATGCACCAACACTTTGTATCAGTGTGAACCATCAAAATGTTGGTGCATATCTTTGGTGTAAAAATGAGGTACAAATGTTGGGGTACATGTAGCATGCTCCTTTTAATACTCCCTCTTTCCCTCTATGTTTTTTAATTTTGATTTGGATAAAGCTATTTGTACCCCAGAAATTTGTACCTCATTTTGTACACAACAAGGATACACCAACATTTTGTGTTAGTGTAATGCTAGTTTTTGTTAACGCACCAACACTTTGTATCAGTGTAAATTTTTGTTAACACACCAACATTTTGTGTCAGTGTAAACCATCATAATGTTGGTGTATACCTTTGGTGTACAAATAAGATATAAATTTTGGGGTACATCTAACATACTTCTTTTGATTTATATGGTCTCCAATGTACTTTCTATGTCCCAAATTAAATTAAATGCTTACTATTTACAAAGTCAAACTTCATTCACTTTATTTATCTATTTTCATTAGTCATTTGATAAAATAATATAGTCATGTCACTACTAGTTTTGTAGATTTTTTAATTTGGTTTTAAATTATGTAATTGTTATTTTTTGATTCTACATTGTGTTTTCATATAAAATATTAAAATAATTTGAAAATAACTTCAATCATATATTATAAACCAAAATAACGATATAAATTAGAACGGAGGGAGTAACACTTTGATCATTAATATATATGTGTGTGTGTGTAGAGTAAATTCCATAATTGGTTCTTTATAACACTGAGGTTTCCGTATTTAGTCTTCTATTATCAAATATTACCCCAGTGATCCTTCTTTTATAGGTATCTTTCCACAAATAGTCTTTTTTTTATCTTCAATCATGTTAGTGTTAATTTGAGGACTAAAAGTGTAATTTCACAATGATAATATATCTTTTTTGTCATACACAATTCCAAAGGTTGTTCCATTTGCATCGTTTGTGAATTACAGTCTCTTTCTACTACAACCACAGTATACAAATGTAGTCTTTCGTCGGAATTATTTTTGTGTTATCCGCTTAACCAATATCAGAACACATCACTAGACATAATGTGGATGTCAAATTATACTTTTAGCCTTTAAATTAACACCAACATGACAGAAGATAAAAAAAGACCATTTGTGGAAAGGCACCTTTAAAAAAAAAAGATTACGGGGGTAATATTTTATAATAGAGGACTAAATATGGAAACCCTCCTGTTATAAAGGACCAATTATGGAGTTTACTCATATATATATATATATATATATATATATATATATCTGTATATATATATATATATATATATATATATATATATATATATATATATATATATATATATATATATATATATATATATATATATATATATATATTACATTTTATAGAGAATCAAATTTAAAGGCATCATTACCCGAACAGTTTATCCCTACATAATTAAGCAAATCAAAATGGCCTAAAAGAGTCAACTTTACTCATCATAGATACTACGCCTAGACACCATAACTCTCGAGACAGTTAGGACTTGGGAGTTTCACCTGACAAGGAAGGACCTCCGCCACCCTGGAACAAAGGAATACAAAACCGAAATGGGGAGATATAGCTGAAAGCTGTATCCTTGGACCTATTTATGTCAATCACAAAATGGAGCACCCTTTCTGAGATTTTCCCTTCTTTTTCTTCTGCTTGGGCGGTTGGAGTACAACTTTAATGGCAGCATCAAAAACTCCTTTCACATTCTGCAACAAAGAATACCCCCCGACCATATAATAACCAGGGTTGAAAAACTGAACTGGCCATTGGTGAACCCCAGGGCACTAGGGTTTCAGGGTCATTGGTTAAACTGATCATGAGTAATGAAATTCTTCCAACAAACATTCAGTTTCCATAAATAGATAAAAGCACTGCATAAAAATAACTGGATCACATATGATTATTAGTACATTCTTATATATGCAATGATTCTAGAATGTTTAGGTCTTTGAGGATGTAGCTTATTCTTGAGAGAGAAAGCTACACTGTTGGGGTGAAGCAACGGATTCTCTTTTTAAGAACGACCCGATCAGTCTACCTGGTTTTACTGGTTAAATCTGGGTCAATAACAGTGGTGATGGTACATAGACAGCTTCAACGAAAATGCAATGGCAAAAGAATACAAACCTGCTGTGACTTTGAACTACATTCAATGTAGGCTGGGGCATCAATCAATTTCCTGAGCTCCTCCCCCTTTACATAGAAAACAAATCACACCATTTTAAACATAAGAAGTTTACATAACCTCTCCCTCCATTATATACAACTTTACAAAATTACCTGAGCAGTAGTTATTGGGACAGCACCAGGATGGTCTACAAAGAATTGTTTATCATCACGAAGATCTGAGTGTACAACATATAGTGTGAGGATAATAAACAATAAGCATTCAAAGTTCACACCAATAAATGGATAGAGCAAATAGTTCAAGTACCAAAAAAAAGATAGATAATAGTAGACCACCGGATTTTAGACGGTGAGAAATAAAAGAGTAAATTCCATAATTGGTCCTTTATAACAGGGGGGTTTCCCTATTTAGTCCTCTATTATCAAATATTACCCTTGTGGTCCTTTTTTTATGGGTATCTTTCCACAAATAGTCCTTTTTTGATCTTCTATCATGTTGGTGTTAATTTGAAGGCTAAAAGTGTAATTTTACAATGATAATATATCTTTTTTGTCATACACAATTCCAAAGACTGTTCTGTTTCCATCGTTTGTGAATTACATTCGCTTTCTACTACAACCATAGACTACAAATGTGGTCTTTCGTCGGAATCCTAGCTCACAATCATAGTCATTATTTTTGTGTTATCCGCTTAACTAATATCAGAACACGTCACTAGACATAATGTTGATGTCAAATTATACTTTTAGCCTTTAAATTAATACCAACATGGCAGACGATCAAAAAAAGGACCATTTATGGAAAGGCACCCTTAAAAAAAGGACTACGAGGGTAATATTTGATAATAGAGGACTAAATATGGAAACCCCCCTGTTATAAAGGACCAATTCTAAAGGACCAATTCTGGAATTTACTCGAAATAAAACATGGAAAAAAATGATAAGTTTCTCTGATCAAAAAGATATGTATGATGAAGTTTCAAACAAAACGAGCAATTATTTAATGTTTGAAAAGAACATGAAGAATGTATTTCTCACCAAGTTTTGTTCCTACAAGAACTATTGGTACACCAGGCGCATAATGTTTCAACTCAGGGATCCACTGACAAGAGATTTATCAATGACCAAATTAATCTTTCAGCAACCAAAGACAAACTAGAACAAAGGAGAAGAAATAAGATAACTTTATTCAGAAATCAACTCCACACCTTTTTGGAGACATTTTCATAGCTGGCTTTACTAATGAGAGAAAATGCCAAAATGAAAACATCAGCTCCGCGATAACTCAGTGGTCTTAGTCTGTTATAATCTTCCTGTCCTGTTTATGCATAACAAGTTTAGACCTATATTAATGACTATAAGTCACTCGGTAATCGAGAAATGTTCGGGAATGTAGGCTCATGACTTCTCAACTGGCAAAACATATACAGCTGAGTGGGATTAGCTGAACCATAAATAAGATAATCTACTTTTTACATGTTTGGCGGATATTAAGATTTATGGATTGTGCAAAACTTCATACATTTAATAAATGACAAGTATATTCGAATCAGCAGCCTTTGAAATAGTTACCAGCAGTATCCCACAACCCAAGGTTTACTGTAGCCCCATTGACAACCACATTAGCACTGAAATTGTCGAATACAGTGGGAACGTAATCCTGTGGAACATTAAGAAATAAAAGAAGTTAGAACTGGCATCTAATTCGAACTGTTCCCACACTAGTTATTTCATCATGCAGAACATTTCACAGAAATGGGCTAAGAAATATCATGATAATATGGAACATTTCCATATATCTATTCAGAACACAAATGATCCCTTTGATAAGTCAGTTGAATTGAGATATTATATTGAAGAAGGCATTGCGAATTGTTTAAAGAGTCCAGATATTGTAAAGCATATATTATAGGGAAATAGCAGAAGGAGAATGCAAAACAGCTGAAAAGTTCTTCGTTGCTCGATTCGAACCTATGTACATTACCACTAGTACTTTATCAAAGTGTAAGAACCTCAACAAAGACAGCATTAATTGTTCATGGAAATGTGGGAGAAAAAAACAAAATTGAAGACATAGTGGTTAGATAAATGAATTGAAGGAAGACCAACCGTAGGAAAAGTGTTGCTGGTGTAGGAAATCAAGAGGCATGTCTTGCCAACGGCACCATCGCCGACCGTCACACACTTGATGAACCTGGACGCACTCATTCCCGAGGCCTCAGATCTTCTACGTCTTCAGAAGATCTGAATTGGAATCGGAATATGCGAGATTCAGAAGTACGTATATATCCGTCTACCACCTCTCCGATCGCATCGAAAATATCTGCATGGGGTATCGAACTGAGAAGAACCTGCTAAAGAGATACCTTATCGGCCTTTTCCTCTGTGCCCAGATAGAGCGAGCTTGGCTGAACGACAATGGAGAAATGGCGGAAACGGTGAATTGAGTTGATGAGGAGAAGAGTGAAAGCAGAAAATGTATGAATTGGGAGGAGAGATTATGCATAGGCACATATACATGCCGTCCTTACTTTAGCCTTTTGTCGCCTCCAAACAATGCCGTTGAATCGGTCGCACCTGAATTACAGGAAGATTCAGTCCGGTGAAACTATGTAAGATTATGACTTTTTCAAATACTTATGAAAAAAAATAAATTCTATAAAACATCTCCAGTTATAGGTCGTTTTACATATTTAGTCCCTACATATCAAATATTATTAATTTAGTCCCCATGTAACGCCCCAAAATATATCCTAGAATTATTAATGAATAAATAATCAATTAATCAAATTTGTTTTGATTAAAATAAATTATTGTTGGGCTTTGGGTCGATACGAAATTTGTTTTGACATCTAATATCAAAATCTGGATAAGTCTCATAGAGATAAATCCAATATGTGGACTATTTGTGTGGTCTTGATTGGGAACCTGAGTACAGACCCAAATCAAGAGTAAATAAAGAATTTGTTTAGAATGTAAATATTGAATTGATTTGTTAAAATAAATCATTAGAATAATTGATATGAATTAAATGAGAGAACCTTTTATGAGAAATGTCAATTAAACCAATTTTAACTCTGTTAAGGTCAAACACCCAAAAATATGATGTCGGAAAAAGTATTACAAATAAATATAAAAATTATATCGTTAGATAGAGTTTAACTGCCCGATCGCAACGGTGCAAACGGAATTCAATTCGGAGAAAGTTGGACCAAAAAAAATGTACCCCGACTGGAACCAAAATTGGTCCCGATCAGGGACACTGTGCGAACGGCGCCTCCCAGCGCACTAAGCCGATTGTGAATCTTCCTACGCTCAGCAACCAGTGTCTTCTTCTTCCTCAAATATACTATATAAAGGGAGCTAAGCATTCTCAATTCTTCACCAAAACCTATACTTCCTTGTTCTATTCTGTTGCTCAAAGTAAGGAGAACGCAGTGGTGCTGTCAATTTGGTGTGGAATCACCGGAGCTAAGAGTTATCGTCGCCGGAAGTTTCGCCGGAAAATATCCAAAACCTTCGTTAAGCTTCGAGGTAAGCCCGTAGATATATCTAATGACTAGAATGTTCGTATAGATCGTTTCTACGTTCATAAACGGTCGTTTGGTTGAGTTTTGTGTTTGACATGCTTAAAGAACCAAGAATCATAAACCATTAAATTGATGTTAAAACTATGAATTAATGATGCCAAAATGATCTATGAACCTTGGAGAACATCTCTATATAGTTTTGTTGAAGTTCGGTAACTAAAAACGGTATTCTCGAAATTGGACCCGAACGAAGAAGATGATGAACAGTAACCAAAAACCAGG